TGTTAGATTATGTATTGGTGGATAAAAGGTTAATGGGTAGGCTCCAGGATGTACATGTTTATAGAGGGGCAACTGATATATCAGATCATGTAGTTGTAGCTACAGTTAGAGTAAGAGGTAGATGGGACAAGAGGAAGGTGGCAACAACAAGGAGGAGGGAAGTGAAAGTGTATAAACTAAGGGAGGAGGAAGTTCGGGTGAGATATAATTGACTCTTGGCAGAAAGGTGGGCTAGTGCAAAGATGAGTAGTGGGGGGGTTGAAGAGGGTTGGACGAGTTTTAAAAATGCAGTATTAGAATGTGGGGCAGAAGTTTGTGGTTATAGGAGGAAAGAGGAGTGATTGGTGGAATGATGAAGTAAAGGGTGTGATAAAAGAGAAAAAGTTAGCTTATGAGAGGTTTTTACAAAGCAGAAGAGTTATAAGAAGAGTATATATGGAGAGTAAAAGAAAGGTGAAGAGTGGTGAGAGAGTGCAAAAGGAGAGCAGATGATAGTGGGAGAGGCACTGTCAAGAAATTTTTATGAAAATAAGAAAAAATTTTGGAGCGAGTTAAACAAGTTAAGAAAGCCTAGGGAACGTATGGATTTGTCTGTTAAAAACAGAGTAGGGGAGTTAGTAGATGGGGAGAGGGAGTTATTAGGTAGATGGCGAGAATATTTTGAGAAACTTTGAAATGTTGAGGAAGAAAGGGAGGCGGTAATTTAATGCACTGGCCAGGGAGGTATACCATCTTTTAGGAGTGAAGAAGAGCAAAATGTAAGTGTGGGGGAGGTACGTGAGGCATTATGTAGAATGAAAGGGGGTAAAGCAGCTGGAACTGATGGGATCATGACAGAAATGTTAAAAGCATGGGGGGGGATATAGTGGTGGAGTGGTTGGTACTTTTGTTTAATAAATGTATGAAAGAGGGGAAGGTATCTAGGGATTGGCAGAGAGCATGTATAGTCCCTTTATATAAAGGGAAGGGGGACAAAAGAGATTGTAAAAATTATAGAGGACTAAGTTTACTGAGTATAACAAGAAAAGTGTACGGTAGGGTTATTGAAAGAATTAGAGGCAAGACAGAATGTAGGATTGCGGATGAGCAGGGTGGTTTCAGAGTGGGTAGGGGATGTGTAGATCAAGTGTTTACATTGAAGCATATATGTGAACAGTACATATTTAGATAAAGGTAGGGAAGTTTTTATTGCATTTATGGATTTAGAGAAGGCATATAACATAAGAACATAAGAAAGGAGGAACACTGCAGCAGGCCTGTTGGCCCATACTAGGCAGGTCCTTTACAATTCATCCCACTAACAAACATTTGACCAGCCCTATTTTCAATGCCACCCAAGAAACAAGCTCCGATGTGCAAGTCCCACTCAAATCCAACCCCTCCCACTCATGTACTTATCCAACCTAAATTTGAAACTACCCAAAGTCCTAGCCTCAATAACCCAACTAGGTAGACTGTTCCACTCATCAACTACCCTATTTCCAAACCAATACTTTCCTATGTCCTTTCTAAATCTAAACTTATCTAATATGATAGTGGATAGGGGAGCAATGTGGCATATGGAATAGGTGGTAAGTTAATAAATGCTGTAAAGAGTTTTTACGAGGATAGTGAGGCTCAGGTTAGGGTGTGTAGAAGAGAGGGAGACTACTTCCCGGTAAAAGTAGGTCTTAGGCAGGGATGTGTAATGTCACCATAATTGTTTAATATATTTATAGAGGGGTGAGGGGTGGGATTAAATTATGGGGAATCAAATGGGAATTGACAGTTACTTTTTGCTGATGATACTGTGCTTATGGAAGATTCTAAGGAAAAATTGCAAAGGTTAGTGGATGAGTTTGGGAGTGTGTGTAAAGGTAGAAAGTTGAAAGTGAACATAGAAAAGATTAAGGTGATGAAAGTATCAAATGATTTAGATAAAGAAAAATTGGATATCAATTTGGGGAGGAGTAGTATGGAAGAAGTGAATGTTTTCAGATACTTGGGAGTTGACATGTCGGTGGATGGATTTATGAAGGATGAGGTTAATCATAGAATTGATGAGGGGGGGAAAAAAAGGAGAGTGGTGCGTTGAGGTATATGTGGAGTCAAAAAACGTTATCTATGGAGGCAAAGAAGGGAATGTATGAAAGTATAGTAGTACCAACACTCTTATATGGGTGTGAAGCTTGGGTTGTGAGTGCAGCAGCGAGGAGGCGGTTGGAGGCAGTGGAGATGTCCTGTCTAATGGCAATGTGTGGTGTAAATATTATGCAGAAAATTTGGAGTGTGGAAATTAGGAGAGGGTGTGGAGTTAATAAAAGTATTAGTCAGAGGGCTGAAGAGGGGTTGTTGAGGTGGTTTGGTCATTTAGAGAGAATGGATCAAAGTAGAATGACATGGAGAGCATTTAAATATGTAGGGGAAGGAAGGCTGGGTAGGGGTCGTCCTCGAAAAGGTTAGAAGGAAGGGGTAAGGGAAGTATTGATAAAGCCACTGGATGGCGAAACGTCTACAATAAAGATACCCAGATGTTGCACATGTGTCTTACTCTCATCAGGTGATGGTAGGTGACACATAAAATAGGTGAGGCAAAGAAAATTAAGTGGATCTGTGGAGAGAGATGTTGGTCAGTGGATAGAAAAGAGTTTACCTCAGTATAGTGATAGACACTGCTCCTACAAATGTGAAGGAAGCTTTTCAAGTATATTTCAGCAGTGCAGGTATGTCTTGTGTGCTGAAAATTAGAGAATGAATATTTAAGAAATTAGTAGTTGGGGGGTGCTAAGATATTCATCTTGGGTAGGTTGGAAGGTGATGTAGGATTGGTAAGTGTGTACAAGAGGCTCTTTGAGAGGTAGGATGAAGGAATTAACGGAAAGTCTTTTGAGTCTGTTGGGACTGGTTTAGTTCTATTAGTCATCGGGTAGTAATATCAGCATTTCTGGACACAGCTATGTTGTGATGAAATATATTTGTCACCCTTTGATGAAGTGTGTGTGCATGTGTTAATTGTGTATGTAGGTGTGTTTAGATGTTCATAATTGCCTATGTGGTTGCAAATTTTGAGTTGAAGCTCCTGGCCCTGCCTGTGTGTGGGTGTGTGATGTGTATAAATATATTTTTTTATATTAAAAATTTTTATCACTGGTTGCCTCCCACAGAGGTAGTGACCCCCGAAAGAGTGAAACTCGTTCAGCACCACCACCACCATTCATTCACTCAGTCTTGGTAGAGGTGCACTGACTTCACAGTTCAGATAACCTCTAAACTGCAGTATCTTCACTCCTCTTACCTCCTTTAGAGTGTAAGCACTGTAATTGCCACCTCCAGAACTACATGGCTAACTGTTTTTTCTGAAACCCTTCAAAAAATATTTAATTCCTTACACGAACTGATGGGTGTTCAAAGGTGTTTGGAAAAAAAGCATGCACACTAATTCCCATAAGTTCGTGGAGAATTACTGTCTTGAAGGTTCTGCAAAAGTTGAAACTGCAAACAATACAAAATTGAATTTCCATGAAAAGTTTTCTTTGAGACTTCGGTTCATTTTGTTTCGTAAATCATATTCATGTTTTTGTAATATCACTCAAATCAGGTTAATATTGATTTTTTTTTTTTTTTTTTCCAACAAGTCGGCCGTCTCCCACCGAGGCAGGGTGACCCAAAAAAGAAAGAAAATCCCCAAAAAGAAAATACTTTCATCATTCAACACTTTCACCACACTCGCACATTATCACTGTTTTTGCAGAGGTGCTCAGAATACAACAGTCTAGAAGCATACACATATAAAGATACACAACATATCCCTCAAACTGCCAATATCCCAAACCCTCCTTTAAAGTGCAGGCATTGTACTTCCCATTTCCAGGACTCAAGTCCGACTATATGAAAATAACCGGTTTCCTGAATCCCTTCACTAAATATTACCCTGCTCACACTCCAACAGATCGTCAGGTCCCAAGTACCATTCATCTCCATTCATCCTATCTAACACGCTCACGCACGCTTGCTGGAAGTCCAAGCCCCTTGCCCACAAAACCTCCTTTACCCCCTCTCTCCAACCCTTTCAAGGACGACCCCTACCCTGCCTTCCTTCCCCTATAGATTTATATGCTTTCCATGTCATTCTACTTTGATCCATTCTCTCTAAATGACCAAACCACCTCAACAACCCCTCTTCTGCCCCTTGACTAATACTTTTATTAACTCCACACCTTCTCCTAATTTCCACACTCCGAATTTTCTGCATAATATTTACACCACACATTGCCCTTAAACAGGACATCTCCACTGCCTCCAACCATCTCCTCGCTGCTGCATTTACCACCCAAGCTTCACACCCATATAAGAGTGTTGGTACTACTATACTTTCATACATTCCCTTCTTTGCCTCCATAGATAACGTTTTTTGACTCCACAAATACCTCAACGCACCACTCACATTTTTTCCCTCATCAATTCTATGATTAACCTCATCCTTCATAAATCCATCCGCCGACACGTCAACTCCCAAGTATCTGAAAACATTCACTTCTTCCATACTCCTCCTCCCAATTTGATATCCAATTTTTCTTTATCTAAATCATTTGACACCCTCATCACCTTACTCTTTTCTATGTTCACTTTCAACTTTCTACCTTTACACACATTCCCAAACTCATCCACTAACCTTTGCAATTTTTCTTTAGAATCTCCCATAAGCACAGTATCATCAGCAAAAAGTAACTGTGTTAATATTGATATTTATGATAAATAATGAGTGTAAAGAGATTTGAGCACAGGAAAGCCAGTGAGCCAGAGAAACTTGGGATAATTGAAACTGTTCACTGATTATCCATCAGTAAAAGTGTTGGAAAATGAAAATCAGCAGTTTATGGAAGCACAAAAATATGTAGGGCAACTTTTCTGTGTATGTAGTGTAAAAGGTAATTTTTAAGATCCTGTGAACATGGTAGGTTATTGCAGTACATATAGTCCAATATTCTCTTGATATTCAATCTTCCTTTTTCCTTTTTCAGATTGAAGGTGAAACAGATGGGGGCAAAATCTGCCTTGTACCATTGCAGATATTTGCACGGGATCTTTTAACACTGCTGCATGAATCTGGAGGTCGCATGCTGCTTCTGAATTTTGATACAGCATACCTTGATAGATTTGGTAATTTGTAACTGTTTACACTAAAATAATTTGAAATTGATTCTCTGCATAGTGTACATGTGTACCATTTCATTTTTTATGGTCTTAATTATTTCCTTTTAGGCATTGCATGTCGTCCAGCAACATATGGTTTTCCAAATATTGTTGCCCTTGTTCAGGCACTTGGAGATCTAGTAGCAGTCAGGGCAGGGGAACAAAGAGGATTCTTGTCCTTAACCGTGAAGTTGCACCATCACCACCGTTCTTCAGTGTCACTGCCAATAGGTAAGAAAATTAAAAGCTAGAACATTTTGCATTTCTAAAAATTTGTTCAGTAATAAAAATAAGTGATTATTTCAAATATTTCTGTAAATGGCAGGTAATCCATTACCTACTGTCAAAGCATTTTTTTTCATTTTTTTTACCTCATTGTCTTGCTGACATCACAATTTATATTACACTGATTGCAACATCTCCACCCCTCTTTCAGAGTGCAAGCACTGCCCTTCTCACCTCTAGGACTCAAGTCTGGCTCACTAGTTTCCCTGAATCATTTCAGAAATTACCTTGCTCACACACAAATAGTATGTCTATTAAAAACCACTTTCCTCCATTCACTCTAGTCCTACATGTTCACATGCCCCTAAAAAATTTTTTAGTTTAATGCCCTTCAAACCATTCCTGGGATAACCCCTACCCCTCCTACCTATCACCCTTGATTTATACACTGTCATCCTATCCTCTCTACATGCCCAACTCGCCTCAACCCCTCCTTAGCCCTCTGAATTACTCTTGATGACCCGATGTCACCTTTTAATTTCTATATTCGCATTTTCCGCGTGATAGTCACAGCACACATTCTCAAACATGCTGTATCCATTGCCTTTAGCCATCTGATCAGCCCTCTGAATTATACTGTTGATGACCCCACATCATGTTTTAATTTCTGAAATTCGAATTCTCTGCATTGATCTCAAACGAGGCATCTCTACTGCTGCTACCCGCCGCCTTGTTTCATCACTAACTCGTGCTTCACACTCATAACTGTTGGTATCGCTACTAGAGTGCATTTCCTTCTTTGCCCAAACAGATAAACTTCTTTTCACAGATACTTCAGCACACCACCCACCTAGTTTTCCTCTCATTCTGTGGGGTCACTTCGTTCTTCATAGACCTATCTGCTGATATGCCCACTCCCATTTGTCTAAACACTTCTGTTTCCTCCATACTCCCTCCCTCCAATTTAACATTCAACTTATTATTGCCTAAGCTTCTTGTTACCATCACCACCTTGATTTTTTTTTATTTTTTACATTTAATTTCCTTTAACATACCCTTCTAAATTTCTCCACTAGCCTTTGCAGCTTGCCTTCAGAAAACCCCCAAAAGAATTCTCATCAGCAAAGAGCAACTGTGTTAACTCCCACCTCTTTCATTCCACACACCTTCCCAACACCCAAGCATTTACTTCTTGGACAACACCATTTATAACCATGGTGGCATCAAACATCTGTTTCTCTCCTGCTGAATCCTACTCCCTCCTTCGTACCTAATTGTAAAGATGTGAAATTCATGTATTTTGTAAGCTGAATGTGAACAGAAGTTTAAGCAAAGGTACTATAATGCAAATGTTTTGATACAGTTGTTAACTCTTCCTCTTAAGTTCACAATTGGAAGATAAATTTATCTTCCAGAGTAATACATATTGCCTGCCAAGTGAACTGAAGACAGTCTGTTGAATCTTTTTCTTTTTTTTCTGTTTGCAATGGAGATGTCAATTTCAACGATTAAAAATTATGATGTGTACAACCCTGGATTCATTATTACAAATATGCATCCCTGTAATACATTTTATTAAATTCTTACCACAACTCTCAATCCTGCCTTGCTGAACATCTGTATAGTATTTTAGACTAAAATTCACAGTCTCTGGAAAGTTCTTTTTATCCTCTTTTAAATCAAAGTAAAATTACTTTGAGAAATTTTAGGAAATATCAGAGTACTTAAGATTTTCTTTCATAATATTTAAATTTATTCTCCTAGCACGAATCTGTATAGCGAAAACGTGGATTCTGTGGATGAGAACGGAGTGTCAAAACCACCACCAGCTTCTCAACTACCTCCACCTCACAGGGTTTCTTCACCTCCACAGTGTGACTATCAGCCTTTCTTGCAAGGTATACAGTCAGTTTTTTTTTAAAATTAAAGTTTTTCTCTAGTCACTGTACCTTGGTAGGAAATGGGTTGCAAAAATTGAGGTTCTGCCATTTACTGCACCTGTTATATATGCCTTTCTACATTTCAAATCTCTTATTCTAAAATTTTTCTCAGCTTTCACCCTTCCCTCCCTTCTCCCATATAAATAATCCAGCCTGTTAGATAGGAGCAAATGAAGACAAGTGGTTTTTCATGGATGTGCTGTTGGAGTGTGAACATATGAAAAGAGGAGCACTACAGCAGGCCTAGCACTCTAGTGTCCTCATCAAAATTTATCTTTACAGCTTATTTTAGTGTAATTGGCAAACTTGCTCATGTCACTATTTATTCCACTTGTCTGTAATTTATGTATATTGTGAACAACAAAGAGCCTATCATTGACCCTCTGTGGATCACTACTTGTGCTGCATCTCCACTCTGATTTCTCCCAATTTGATTGTCAGTCATTCCTTGATCCAGCAAAAAAGCCCCTTGCTGAGCAGGGTAACTTTTATGAAGGGATTCAGGAAACTGTTAGCTGGGCTTGAATCCTGGAGGTGGGAAGGGCAGTGCCTGCATACTGGAGGGGTGGGGATGTTAGAGGTAATTTGGTAGATGTCAGTGAGTGAATGTTGCTGAATGTTTTCTTTGGATCACCCTGACTTGGCAGGAGATTCCTGTTGCATTAAAAGAAAAAAATCCACCTGATGCTAAAGTCCAATACTTGCTTTCAGCTAGTGACATTAGCAACTGATTGAATATATAATCTTTATCTTTGCAAGTTACAGCTTTGACAAATTAAGCTTTTTTTCTGGTAATTTTTATTTAACCCTTTGACTGTCGTATATATACGTCTTACGAGGTACCGTGTTTGACGTATATATACTCATAAATTCTAGCGGCTTCAAATCAAGCAGGAGAAAGCTGGTAGGCCCACATGTGAGAGAATGGGTCTGTGTGGTCAGTGTGCACCATATAAAAAAAATCCTGGAGCACGCAGTGCATAATGAGAAAAAAAAACTCCGACCGTTTTTTTTTTTTAATTAAAATGCCGACTTTGTGGTCTATTTTCGTATAGTATTTATGGTTGTATTCTCGTTTTCTTGGTCTCATTTGATAGAATGTAAAACATATTATATAAATAAAAGTGATTTTGATTGATTTTACTATAAAAAGAACCTAGAAATGGAGCTCAAAGTAGGGGAAATGTTTGATTTTTGCCAATGTTCAAAAGTAAACAAATGATCCCATTGTCCAATAAATGTCCAACTAGCCATTCTAATATGCAGTCATAAATGGGTTGATGTTATTTATACAATTATTACAGTATTGCAGTAGTCTGCATAATAGTAAGTCTTCTATTTTTTGTTTGAATAAAAATTCAAAATAGAAAGCAAGAGTAATATCAGAGGGGCCTGGAGACATGACTGATGAGCAAAGAAAATGTTATTTTAGTCAGGAATGTCTGCATTGTTCATTCTGGACCTTATTTTGAAATTGTCATATTTTTTAGTTTTCGTGAAATTGGCCAAATTGCAAATTTCTGACCACATTATTAGGTAGTTAAA